AATGTATTTAATATCAACATTTTTGATTATAGACAAATATAGGAATCATAATCAGTAATTATATTATCACAAACTCTATACTTGAATAATAGATTAATGTTGATAATAGTTTGTATATAATCTTGTTAAAATTTTAACTTTCAACGGGAGAAATATTGGTTGGATCAAATCCTATAAAATTCAATAATTAACGTTAATTATGAATAACACCAACATATAATTAAAATTAAAAGCGTACCTGGCATTGGATAACTAGTAGCGAACGCTTCTACTTCTTTTTTTAGAGCAGAAATTTCTTCGACATCCTGACATGCGACAACAAAATCTTTCATCATTTTGCTACCTGCTTTTTCCTAATAATTAAATTATAGGTTAATTATAAATTTCAACTTTAATATATATTTTTTTTCCTTTACAATTTTTATCAAATTTAAGATATAAAAACTCGTGTACTTTTACGTTCTGATCAGTACCCACTTTCGGATAGAATTTATCGACCTGCAGCTAATCCAAAATATTATTCAGGACTTGTAGCAGCGATAGATAAAACAGCTAAACTGAAACAAGAAGAAGACTCAAAGCCTTCACTATGGAAAAGATTATTAAAATTTAAGAACAAGGACACGTAAATTTTTTTCGACAAAAAAAAAAAAAACGGAACAATAAAAAAATTTACTAAATCAGTCTAACCCTAAACCTATTTTAATTCCGGCCAAAATTAAACAAATGATATTGTTAAATTTTACGAAGTGTTATCACGTGATGAAAAATTTCAAATCGTTTGCAGTAGTAAAATGACTTTAGGGTCTTTATTGCCTCGTAAGGCTATCTTGTTAAGATTCTAATTATAAGAGTTATATTTTAATAGGAATAACAGTATTGTATACTCCATTCTGAAAACATTTAAAATATAAAGTTTTCCCTTAGAAACCTTAAAAATATACCAGTTTGTTATAAAAAAATAAGCATCCTATATTTAAAATTGATCTGAACTAATAAAAAAAAATAAACATATTAAATAAACATATTAAAGCCTTGAAATCTGTTCATTTTTTATTCTCATATTTTCTTTAAAATAATCTTCAATAACACTTATTAATCCTAGAATTTCTTCTTTTGTATTATCACCATGTATGCAAATTCTTACACGTTCTTTTCCAACAGGGACAGTTGGAGATCGGATTGGTTTTACATTGTATCCCGCCTTTTGGAGTATACGACTTAATTTTACTGCGTTTGCGTTGCCTGAAAAACAAATATTGTAGTGATTACAAAGATAACTCATAACTTGGGTTTATTGTAAAACAATGTGTTGTCCGTTACCTGGGACAACTATTCCTTGGATAGCACTAGTAGATGGTAACAAATTATCATGTGGTATTTTGATGTTTGAGCGGAATATATTTATTAATTTCATTAAATTTTGTCGGAGCTATATAATTATCTTATAGTTAGAGTAATATCGATTAACGTATTTTAAAATTTTTAATATTTTATAAATGTAATAATACCTGATCACCTATTTCACTAGACATGACTTCGTAAGAGCACCTTATAGATATAAGGTTGTTATATGATAGGAAGGTAGAAAAAATTAATGGCCTTGCATAGTTGATTAAATATGACCTTAATATTTTCGGACCAAGAATAGCCGCTACCATAATGATAATTTTTTTAAATACTTTGATAATTGAATATAGAGAATAAATGCGATATTAAAATTTGACTACCTCCATTGCTAGCCAATGCTTTGCCGAAAGTATGTAGTCGCGCAAACACGTGACGTTCCAAACCTAATTCACAAACAATCCCCCTGCCTTGGTAACCATACACACCATTCGAATGAGCCTAAATCAAACCAAATACAAGGGTTAAATCCATAATTTAAAACAATAGATATTATTTGAGTGCTTTCAGATAAAACTTATCAAGAAGAAATCTATAACATTTTCTTGATTCAGCCCCTGAAAAATTGCATTATGGCCTGATGACTATCATTAGGTATTATTGCGGCAAGATGGAAATTGAAAATAAGATTTATAGATTTTTTCTTGGTGGCACTCATTTGAAAACTATATAAATTAATACGTACTTCATCAACGTATAAATACGCGTTAAATGATTTTAAGACTTCAACAATTTCTTTTAAAGGAGAGAAATCGCCATCCATTGAATATAAACTTTCTACTGCAACGAAAATATTATTTTTTGCACCAATTTTCATTATAACATTCTCTAACACTACTTTAAGATTTTCAACATCATTATGTTTGAAACTTGTAACCAAAGATGCTCTAGAATTTCTCACTCCATCATGTACACTTGCATGTACAAATTCATCTATAATAACGGCATCACCAGGCTGTGGAACACAACTAAAAAATCCTACATTCGCGTCAAAACCAGATGTAAACATCAATGCACTTTCAGCGTTATGAAATTCTGCAAGGAATTTGTCTAATGATTCGGCATATGATGAATTTCCATCCAAAAGTCGTGAACCTGTTGAACCAAGTGGAGGGTGAGGAAATTTGATAAGAGTATTTAAGAATTTTTCATTCAATGTTTTATTTCTTGAAAGTCCAAGGAAGTCATTAGATGAAAAATCGATTGATGAAGGTGACGCAACTACTAGAGAACGACAAAGATCACGTTTTTTCCGTTTTTCTAAAATATTTTCCAATTGTTCTTTCAATGGCATTGCGAAAAGATTTTGAAAGGTAATGAAAATCAATGTTCTTTTTTATTAGCAATAGATGATCTATCGTAGGACAAGTGACAATGATCGAACTTACTTTCATCATAAAAATCGTGTAACTAAGATTACTTTTGGATAGCGTTGGTTCAACCTTATTCCAACTCAAATTACTTGACTTATAAAGTTACCCAATACTATGTATAGAGAATAGAAAGAACTTAATTATCGATTACTTTTTTTGATTTTGCTAATGTCTATCAAATGATTTAAATGCAACAACACACCTCTTTAGTCTAGCCATATAACGCTTTATAGATAAATGAATAATTTTTTTATTTTGTAAACACATGCTATTTCCTTGGTCAATATATATACTTCATATGTGCATAAATATTTAAAATATGGGTAATTTGACGATAATTAGTGATCCAGCGTGATCATAATCTGACAATTTATCTTGAATGAATCGAATGATATGAGAAATATTGAAATCCAATACGATATGATTAATTCAGAGAGTTTTGGTAATATGGCAGTACCGGTACGTAAATAATAATTTATACGTATTACAGTATTAACAATTAATACAGGAATAGCTGATACTGTACGATCGATTATCTTGCTTTAACAATGTTACATAACATGATAATCAGAATGAAATGATGCGGGATTCAATACGTTGACTTTTGTTCTGATTGGTCAATTACTTACAATCGAATTTATACAGTTTAAAGTATTAATTCGAAAATAGCATTCCACAAGTAAAATAAGGTTGTTTCTTACATCAAACAAGCGATAAAACTTATTGTGCAAAAGAATCTCTGAAATGCCTAAATGAGTCTTAAAACAGAAGGCACGTTAATTTCCGTTTCTCTTGCAAATTTGCCGTAATTCATGTAGCTCCACTATTCTTTTACTTATTAGATGTTCATTCGTAGATGTTCATTTTTTTTTACATACCGTTTTAGTTATTTTTTGAACACAATAAATATGATAATTATATATATAGTATATTTTTGAGTTTACACGAACCATTAATAAAATTGAGAATGAAATTGAATGTCGACAATGATATCAAATACTTTTCTAAATTCAGAAACGCTCAATTTGGTAAGATTTCAGAATAAATTTGGTTAGTAGAAGAGTCATTCGAAATGAACCGGCAATTGCACTTCAGAATTACCGCTACAAAATCAAAATTTATAACAGTTTTATGTTAATAATAATAATAATAAAAAAATTATCCATTGAATGATTATACGTATCCACAAAGTGCTACCCAGTATATCGTAAACAGAAGTTCCTGTGTTTGGTTCCGACTTCAAAATATGCCATTATGTTCATTAATTGTTTATCATCTAATATTATTCAGTCTCAAAATTGAAAATCTAGTTTATAATAGTTACCAAAAATTAGCAAAGTTTCTCGAAGCTTAGATGCTATTTTGTTAGTTAAATAGTTTATTGACAAAATGAAGCTTAAATCATTATATTTTTAAAGTGCATATAAATATCATTTAATTCATTTATAACTTTTTACCAATACTTTTTCCTAAACCTTTCAAGAATATACATTTTTCATTAAATAGATATTCATTTTTTCAAAACTTTGTCCTTCAAGATGCCTACTACTCGACCATATAATATTCGTGAAGCGAGACGAAAAGGATATGTTGACAATATTGAAGCTGTAGAAACGAAATTAAAGTTAATTACTTTATTTCGTGAAAATAACAATTATATACCTTTAAACAAAACACCTTTTTATTATTTTGCAAGATTTAATAGAGCATTAATTTATATGGGCAAACTTGTAAATATTTTTAATTTTTATTTATTTATTTAAATGATATTAACTATTATGTATTTTTTGATACATAAATATATACATTTTTGCTAGAAATACGCAATCACCAACGAGATGAACACGATTTTAAGTCTACATGAAACTATTAATTGTGGAATCATTGTTAGACTTAGCGAACCATTACAACAGGAACGTAATGATATTCTTCAATTTAATAATAGCTTTAACCAACAGCATGAAAAATGTCAAATAACCTTACAAGGAACAGAAGATGAAGTTAATGAATATGAAAATAATAAGCAAAAAGTAAAAAGATGGTTAGAGGAAATAAAATCAGATTGATTCTTTGTAGAAATTCTTTGTAGAATATTTAGATGGATAATAAGGTTAACAATTGCAAATCAATCTAATGGATTATTGATGACTAGTAAGTAAAATAGAACTTGTATTTTTTTTTTTTTCCAAACAAATTGTTAACTTTTATAGATATAAAAATTCACATTCTTTATAGTATAATGCATTTTTCTTGTAAACTATTGTAGATTTTTTGTAAGTATAGATTTTTTTATGCTTATACAGTATGTATTTTTATTTTACAATTTTTCTTAGAAAATTTGCTATTTGTTTTTGTTATAAATGTAGTAACATTTATTTGACAAAATACATTCTAATTTGTATAGTGTATATATAATTTTCAATGCATTTAAATAAGCTGTTCATATATAGGTTCAAAGTTAATAGAAATAATGCATTTGAAAATAAATAGGAGCTTTAAGAGTCGAAATTATAATTATAAGCAACAAGGATTGAGATGGAAAAGTCAATATTCCCATTTTACAAGGTAAAAGTTTCAATTTATTTATAAATGTGATGGTAGTTTAGAAATTAGTGATCGCATGAACATGTGTCTGCGGTGCTTGATCGAAAATAAAATTAGTAAATAGTTTAGTTTATTTCGAGCAAAATACGTTTTCTAGTTCAACTGAAGTAGATTCATTTAACTCTGAAAACCCATTACAAAAAAAAATCAAGTCTTCATAAATTGGCAGGCCGGGCCTAATTTAAGCAAAACCTGGCCTGGCCCGCTACTTCGGGGTTTTTTTTTTTTTTTTTTTTTTTTTTTTAAGCTGGGCTTGGGCTCAAAAATATTTATCATGTTTGGGTTCGGGCCCAGCCTAACCCGGTCCATTCCGGACTCTAGTAACACTTATAATGCTAGAAACTCTTCTTTTTTATTATGATATTCTTTAAATCTTAATATCGCATATTCTATATAATCAAAATTAATTTCTGAAAACTGGGCTTGAACCTAAAAAAAAAAAAAAAGATTATTAGTAAAAATTCGTTCAACCAACACCTTATTATGTCTATTAAATAAAAAATGTCATTTACCAATCCCCATACACCCCAGAAGAAATGGGATGCTAATGCGAATTTATTAACTTCACGATATAGTTCATTAACTTCTTCTTCAGTAATAGTAGTATCTATTAAAAAGAAACAAATATTAATTGAAATATTATTTTATAGTATGAATATACCAATAAATAACCTCACCAGGATTATATGAGCAAAGATAGTGTTTCAGCCATTTTATTTGAAATTCTTTAGATGGGTATAAATTATAATCACATTCAAACCCTAAAATTTATGAGTGAAAATTATTACCAAATTACCAATTATGCATCTTATTATCATAAATTTACCTGCAAACTCATTGAAATGATTTGCAATATCAAATGATCTATAGTTCATTGATCCATACTCAAGATCTATGAACGAGATCTTGTTTCTAGCCTCTTCAAAAATAATGTTTCCACTCAAGAGATCATTATGACAAAAAACGATAGGAGATCCTAACTTTACTAGTTCATTTTCTAAAACAATTAACTATATAAACAAATCATTTTATTAGTTATTAAAAAAATTTTTTTCATTAATAAAAATTTAATTTTACACATACTTCATTAAAGAGTTCTTCTAATTTAAAATTTTTTTGAAATTTCTCATCAGTTTTTGAATTGTTATACGATTTTGGTACTAATAGTGAATTTTTGATAATATATAAGAATTAATCTGTAAATTATGTATAAAAATAATAAAACTTTGGGTACGAAATGTTACCTTCTTTTAACCACTTCCGTAAAATAGGAAATAAAGTAGATTCCTTTTCATCAGAGATGTTTACCTTATGCCAAACCGCCATATGTTCTGCAATAAGCAAACATATATGCTGATTACTCATGTCTGGTACGGAAAGCGCACGACCAGAAGTATAACCATACACAATTCCATTGTTAAATCGACAATAAACTTGACGGACCAGTCCAAGCTTAGATAAATGTATTATATTCTATATAGTCATTTGAGGATTGCTATGCTAATTAGATATATTGAAGTTTTACGTGCAACATATGCATTAAGAAAAAATTGCTTACTGAGGTTTCTCGTTTTCTGTCAATAATGATTTCTGATTTTTTACCATAAGTACGAATCAGTATAGAAACTTGGAGGCGCTTATTGGTACATTTTACAACTGCCATTAAATGAAAATTGTAACATTTTAATAATCGTTAATAATAAAGTTTTACGAGGAACGGTAACTTACGTTTATTAGTGATTCCACTTTTAAATTGTACAAGTTCTAAATCATCATTCCTCCACGATTCGAACAATAACAAAGCAACTTCTTTAGAGCTTTCGTGCAAATTTGTAGTTACCACGGTATGGTCAATAAATTTAAGGTCTTCGTAAGTATTAGCCATTAGTATTAATAGTTTAGTAGTTGTTTAAGTATTTTATAGCCC